GGCCCCTCCTCGGCTCATTCTTTGTGGTTCCCGACATAAACACGCCAAAGGCTCCGTTTCCTGCAATTGAAGAGCCCAGCCCAGCGCTGCCGGGACAGGAATCAAGATTGTTTAGATTCTGGCCTTGATGGGGCAGCGGAGTCACGCAAGCCCAGCCCTCGGGAGCGCGCTCAGACGCGGCTGACCCCGGCAGGCTCCGGCAGCGCCGTAAAACGGCCGGTTCCTCCCCAAAATAACTCGCTTGGTTGTCGCTCGCGGGGAGGAAACGGCGAGCGGGTGCCAGGTCCTGGGGCTGGAGGGCAGGAGCTGGTCCCGGGTGCCCCGTGCAGGGAGCGATGCCGGGCAGATCCCCATCCAGATCCTCGGCTGGGCCAGGAGCAGCTTTGTTTTGAAATCCCAACTCCCCTGGACCTGGGCTGGGCTCAGCTTTATTTTAAAACCCTCGGAGCTGGGCTGCAGCTCCCTGAGTGCCCAGGGTGCTCCCAGGTGGTGAATTCCCTCCATGGAGCCCCTTCCATTAAATCCCCAGCCGTTAGATGGCTGTGGGGTGTTTGCTGTGAAACACAAAGTGGGCAGGGCCCAAACCTTTGCTGTATGTGAAACATCACATGGATTGCCGGTGTTGCCAAGAGCAAACCTTAATCCAGAGTCATCCCTGGCATCCCACTGGAAAAACATCCTGAGTGCTTCCGTGACGGGTCAAATCAGAGCCTGCATCCCCATCCCTGTCCCCAGCCTCCCTCAGCTGCCATCAGGAACTGCAGCTCAAGCACCCTCCTGGCATCCAGAGCATCTTTCCCCACCTTTCAGGATTTCAACAACAACCTCTTGGATGCTGAGCTCAGGGAGCTGCACAGGAGGGGCTGAGCTGCCCCAGCCCCTCTCCCTGACGGGCACCGCTCCAGCCCCTGGCTAGAACTGCTGTCAACTCTCCCTCATTTTTCCCCGTGGCTTTTCAAAGTACACCCAAATTCCCCATTTCCCATGTTGATTCCAGCCTTTCCGTTGCAGCTGCGTGTTAACCTCAGCTCTCTAGCGAGAACGTGGTGAGGGATCCTGCCACTGCCACACTGGTGTGAACCCAGGTTCACACTCCCAGCCCCAAAATTCCAGCTTCTCCAACCCCGACCTCGACACCGGCGTCCCACGGAACGTGAAGGAAACGGGGAGCAAATCCCGCTTTGAGCTGCCCCGGGGGTAAATCAGGAGGGAAATGCTGAGCTCAGTGCAGCCCCAGGCCCCGCGTGCTCCCCCCACTCACCTACAGCATCCACGTCCCCACGGCACTGCCCGGCCCTGGCGAGGCTCTCCCGGCCGCGGTGCCGCTCTCGGAGCCGGGGCAGCTCCGCTCCGTGCCCTGCACCCCGGTTTGGGGGAGCTTCATGGGTCTGCTCCCCTCCCTCCACCCAGCCCGGCACCAAGGCAGCTCCCGAGGCTGCAGCCGTGCCAGCCCTGGTGGGGGGAACGGCCCCGTTCCCAGCCCAGCCCCAGGGGCTCGGCAGCCCCGTGGTCCGACGCGGCCGCTTGGCAGGAGCTCTGTGGTCTGGATGTGGGAGAAGTCAAAAAAATGTTTCTTATTACTGCCTCTTCCTGCCTGGCTTCTCTCCACCACTCCCAGCTAATAAAGCATTTCCTATTGCTGAGCACACAGCCACGACCGGCCTCCCTTCCTCCCGCTCACCGGGCCCCAGCTCCATCCTGGTTGCTCTCCCTCGCCCGTTCCTCCCTCCTCGTCCTTCGCCGGGCCCTTTCCCACTTGGATTCCCAGCTTTCAAAGCAAAGCCAGGCCCCTGCTGGGGGCACAGCCATCACGGCTCCTACCCTGGGCATCCCCAGGCCGTTGGGAGGAGAGCAGCTGGTTGCTTTGATGGCCATGGGAATGTTCTGGAGGGACGCCGTGGGAATGACCTTGACGTGCTTGGCCATCCCTCCCACGCCAGCCCCTCATGGGGACGGAGCATCGCAGCCCCTCAGAGGGTTCCCTGGTTATTCCATGTTGGACACAACACTCTGGGGGAGGGCAGGGGAGGATGTCACCCCCGGGGTGCAGCGTGGGGTCAGGGGGCGCTGCTGAATGGTGGCTCCACTGGGGATGCTGAGCCCGGCCGTGGGCACAGAGCCAGGCTGGCTGGGCCCAGGGGCTCATGCTGGCACGTCCTGGCTCTTCCCACACCGTGCCACGGTGGCCAGGGCTGGGATGCCGCCGGCAGGGCCGTTCCCACGGCGGGAGGTTGGGCACTTCCCGCTCCCCCAGATCACACGGGAAGCGCCGCTTCCCCTTTCGCTGCTTTCGGGGCTGTTCTTTGGGCCACCCCAATCTCAGCTGCCCCGCACTTCTCCCATCCTCTCCTCCCCCTCCAGTGCCTTCCCCAGCCCCATCCCTGCCTTTCTCCCAGACTCAATCCAGCATTGCAGCCTCTTTCCTAACCAGGTGCCAGGGCCTGATTTACCACCCCGTTCCCATTGCATCACCAGCCCCCGGTTGCATCACGAACCCACCCGGAGCCTCCTTGTGCCGGGGCTTTGAGTCTGGCCGGGCCGCCTCGCCCCGCTATCGGCCGTGATCTAGGAAGTTCAAACAAACAAAAGCACAAAACCAGGATAAAACACGAAGGACCTTCACGGGTGACCTTGCCCGTGCAGGGTCCGGAGCTCTGGGGAAACGGGCAGTTTCCATCAGATAGAGGAGCCGCCCCGGAGGAAGCCGGTGCCTGCAGACCTCTTATCTCCGTGACCATCTTTGCTCTGGTCTGCAGGTCTCTGTGATCCTGCTGGAGACCAGCCCCTCCCAGAGTTATTCCTGGATGGCTCCTGCATTCCCCCCCACCATGGGAGTAGGCACAGGGTGGGCATCAGCACCCCAAATTTATGGCTGCTGGCAGGGGTTACCCCAGGCAGCCAAGCACACCAGGTGGGGGCTGGTGCCAGCTGGTTTGATCCCCACAATTCCAACAGGACATCATTTTTAAATCATAACCATCACTGGGGAGGGATAAACACTTGCTTAAAAACTCCTAAAATTTCCTAAATCCTAATCCTGGGTGACTTGAAGGGCAGGGATGAGTGTGGAGCCCCAGGCCAGGCTGTTGCTCGGGCACTGCCGCTGTGGCAAAGTTCATTTCCCCCCCGGTGGGACTGACTGTGAAGGTACACGACGGACAAACCAAACCCGTGGCAGGCTCCTGCACCCCTGCCAGCTCTGAGTGGGGCAGACAGGGTGAATCAGCAGGGCTGGGCACCACCCGACAGCGCCGTGACCCGACATCTACACCGGCCGTGGCGCAACTCGGAGCCCAGGAGAGGCTTTCCGTCCCCATCCGGGTGCTCGACCCTGCCGTGCCATCCCGGGGAAGGGCACGGGCATCCCTGCACCACGGCCAGACCCTCCATGGGGGGGTCCAGCCACCCCTCGGGGTGTCCCTGAGCAGTTCCCAGAGTGGCAGAGGGGACGAGGGGGCCGGTGGGAGCCCGTCTGTCCCTTCCCCCTGCGCGGCGTGTGCCACCCGCCCCCGGCTCATCTGCCAGTCGCCGGGAGCTGGCGAGGCAGGCCAGCCACGTGCCGGGGAGCCCGGCCGAGCCAAGGGCTGGAGGGGAACAGACGGGGAGGCTGCAGCTCCTTCCTTCCTTCCCCACCACGATCCTTCCCTGCCCGCACCTCCCTGTGCCCCCCGAAAGGCAAAGCTGAGGCCCCGAAGTGGGGGGGTGGCAGAGGGAGAGTGTCCCACGCCTGGCCAAGGGGTTATTTATTACCTGGATAATTTGGGCTCTGAGCACTTCAACGCTGCCCATTGCCCTGCTGGGGTCACACCCTGAGTGCTGCAGGAGCCAGCAGCACCCCAGTTTCACCTTCCTACAGCCTGGGATGGACTTAAGAGGAGCATGAAACAGTGGAACAGCAGATCCCAGCAGATCCCAGGGCTCTGTCCTGGATAATAGTGGGGCTTCCAAGGGCAGCTGGGAATGGAGCCCATAAGCACCCCAAGGCTGGTTTCCAGTCTGGGCCTGGCACCCAGAGCTCCCCCATAGAGTGGAGCTGCTTCCCCTGATGTGTCCATCCACAACCCAGGAGTGGGGAATGTCACCAAGGGGGGGACAGGGTGACCAGCGGGCCTTGGCAGTGAGGGGGGAGCATTCCTGCCAGCCCCACAAGCAACCCTGAGCTTTATTTGTGGAATCAATCCTGTTAACATGGCAACCACTTCCATTTTAATTTGCTCAGCCACATTCCAACACACGCTGCAGAATCAAGAGCTCAGGGAGATCAAAGAGACAAAAAAAAA